CGTCTATTCTCCATGTGTGAATATAACCTATTGGCGAAATAAATTTGTTTTTGTGTGAGAGTCGAAATAAAGAACAAGAAAACTAGACAGAATCTGCTTGAAGTCCAATAGATTAATCCCAATAAATTATTCTAAAACTAATCTGGCCATTCTCTCCTAATGTGTTTCCTCATGACTCTGAAGCTCCAGGTTACGGGTTTCGTCTCCCAGCCCGTTCGAGTCCCAACGGAATTATAACAAGTTCCGCCCATCCCCACCAATGAGTCCAACCAAGGACTAACAGCTGCTCTTTCCTCTCCACTCGGCGGCACACGGACCTTTCTATTTTTCATTATACTGTAATTTGTTTGTTTACTGAAGACTCTGTACCGACTGAAGTCACATTAATCACCGATAGTGAGTCACTTAACTAGTTGCTTTAGCTCTACAAGTGAGGAAGAATTTATGTACTCAGTGGTATGTCAATTAATTTTATTTCGTTAAAACGTCTTCTTTGGAAGTGAGCACCCTGGCAAATTGAGGAACGACTGACTTGGGGTGTAATGTGTGCAAAAGTCAATATGAAACTATTACGACTAGTCAAACTAGTAATGTGACATAAACGAGAAGCTTAAAGATGGTCTAATGTACCAAAAATGATAGTAGTTGGTCATTCATAAAAAAATGATTGTTCAGTGAAAATGTTACTGAATCATTGGTGGGAAATAAGCAGCAGGTTGAGGCGTTTTTAGTGATTTTCTGATCAGTACAAAATTATAAGCAAGCCATTCAGTAAAGGTAGCTAAAAGCAGTAAGTCCAGTGATAAAGTAGGCAAAATCGAATACACTGAAACGAGATTCGGAGTACTTTCATCTCTCTCAAACGAGAGACGTAAAGTTTTACTCTACAGACTTTGATGTAGGTTTCTCGAGCGCAATAAAAAGGGATCAGGCGCGCGATAAAGGCCAAAATATTCAAAATATCAGTTTCGTTCACCGTTGAAGTCTTTCACCACAATTCAAGGGAAAATGCGGTGAGTGGAAGAACATTCGACCGCGGTCCGAATATACCATCATTACTCATTGTAATAAAACACAAAGTAGCGAACAAGCTCGTTTGCGGTGATTCTTCTGCAGTCCAATACATCACAATTGATATCAATTTATTTCAAATTGTGATTTATTGGCCTGCAGAAGAGTCACCGCAAACGAGCTTGTGGATCATGTGGTATTGATAAATAAAACTTTAAAAACTCTGAACAAGCGGCAGTTTCCATTTGCACTAGGTGAACAATGGGTGACCGAAGAACCAATCATGAATAATCTGTATTGCCGTTTTGAGTTCGAACCGAACATCCTACCATCATGAAAAATGACAATAGGACGTATGAATGATAAAAAAGGCTGCTCGTCTACCTTCTTTTTCATGCATATATTTATTATGCATAGGATTGTCATAGCAGTAAAATGAAACAACAGTTGCATCCTGATGTCATTATTGAGCCTTTATTGGAGCAAGAATACACAAGAAAATGTTCTAATTAGATCATCCTGGTTATTAATACTCACATATTACGATGTATCTTGCTCTCGTTATCGTGTTCTCCAAAATGTTCGTATCTCGTATCTCTTACAGAAATGCCTGAGTGTCTTTATCATGTTTCTTTTTAATCTCCGATTTGGTATTTAGATATTATCATTTTGGTCACTTGGATCTGTGGGACTCTGATATTTGGACTGCTTACCTTATGCCTAATCCGGCTACAGGATGCCCGTGAGCTAGCGGAGGCTCAACGTGCACGACCTTTTTCTCTACGGCCATGTTCTGAGGGTCACTCAGTTGCAGCCTTACCAGCAACAGGTAATAGTTCGGCTTTTTGGAATGAGGTAGCGAACTTGTCAAATACGTCGTGGTTTTTTCCTGGACGAACTACTCCGGCCACAGGTGTGCCTATCACGACGGCTGGTGATAATGTCCCCACACCAACAGTCAATTCGGTCAGCTACGAAGTGCCGGAAACTCAAGGATCTGCATGGCTAGATTCAACGAGTATGGGTTCACGAATACCGACAGAACGCACGCAGCTCCTTCCCGGGTACGCTATTATGATGTAATTTGAAGATTTTTCTCGATAGTTCGGAATTTCACTTACTCATATTAGTTGTGATTATGGGGGGTCTAATTACTCTCAGTATTGTCGTCTTTTAATCGGGTTTTATTATCCCGATCATACTGCGAAATGCGATTATGTGAACTGCATTGTCTGATTCGGTCCCCACATAATACCGGGAGATTAGACTTGCTAAGAAAACACTAAGCAACCCATTGTGACCGAGTCAAACATCCAATTTGTGCACATCGAATGGTGTATATTAATCGAATACTTGATCTTATTTCACATGCAATTCTTCTTACTTTTTTATGAATTAACGGGATGGTCTTCACTGCTATCAACGCGTTTCCTCATTTTACTTTTGTACGTTATCCCCAGCACCATTACGCCCTTTTATTCGAGCTTGTACGTCTGGCGATTATGCATCCATATTCAACCCAGAAGGGTGCTTCCAGGAAGGTCAATGATCAAGCATCTGGAAAGCTTGGTCGAGTATACAGAATTGAACAATGAGCGATAGCCTTATTGGTATATGATATCATATTATTATAGCATAATTAACGTAGTGCTCATTGCTAAACAGTTCTGGAAGCGCTGTTCAGCTGTTTCGCACGTTAAAGATCAGCAGCAGCGGCGCACACCCGCCCAATCAGTTCGACCATCACAACAATGTACTTATTCCCACTCGGACTAATAGGTAGAGGCCCAAACACATCCAGTCCCCAGGTTTGAAGTACTCTCCGTGTGTCTTTTGGTTGCATTGGCGGTGTTGATGGCGTTGTATATTTGTTATGTTGGCACTCGGGACAAGAACGGATGTATTCAATTACATCGCGACGCATTGTTGGCCAGAACACACGATATCGTAATGAATCGAGAACTCGTTGCCGTCCCATGTGTGCTCCATCATGTGCAAGCTTCAAAACCTTTCCGCGAAGACCGGCTGGGATGAATGGCAATCGCCTAGGTCTCAGTCCGTGTTCCGTGTCCACTGCAACCACCGAGCTCCCATTGTTCAAATGCAAGCGATCCCAGATCTTCAATGCTCCTATTTCTGGTGACGTTTCTTCCGGCTTCGTGCATGACCNTCTGTAGTTGGCTGTAGTTGTCGATTCGTTCGTTTCGGGTGATAGTCAGTATTGTCTCTCGAAGTACTTCCAGTCGCCACTTCTGCGCGTGTGGTTGGATGGGCCCCATTCTTGATTCGTTCGCTAGCCGGGCCCCTCTTTGTACCACCTTCCATTACACTCTCCCCTCCTTTAAAATAGTTGCCGCGGGTGTACCACCGCTCCCATTCTTTACCATTTACCCATCTCCGTTGAGGACGCTGGTTGATCCGGAAACTGGCGTTCTTCCTCTCCAGGACAGTGAATGATCCCATCCACCACTGCTTGAATTTTCCGGCCCACGGCCCTGTTGTTTCGGGTCTGCCTTGGTTCTTAACTTCGTTCCTAACTAGCTATCCCGGTACGAACGGCTGCCACTTTTGTGATCGGTGTTCTTTGTCGTACCTTGCCTTATTGCGCTGCTGCGTTTGCCTAGTTCGCTGAACCGCTGGTCTCGCTCCTTCGTGGAAAGTTGTTCGCCAGATCTCCCGAGAAACGCATCCAGCGGAGTTCTGGACTCTCTACCGTATATGAGTTCGTAGGGTGGTATCTCCGTTGTCCAATGAGGTGTGGTTCTGTAGTTGAATAGGATTTCCGGTAGGCTTTCTTCCCAATCACCGCGATGGTTATTGAGCCATTCCTTCATTGTTCTGTTGAACCTTTCAGTCATTCCGTTGGCCTGCGGATGATAGGAGGACGTTCTTGTTCGTTTGATGCCCCATCGGTCTAAGGTTTCCTGAAAAATCTTGGATTCGAAACACAGTCCCTGGTCGGTAATGACATTTTCCGGGATGCCGAATCGTGCGACCACATTGTCCGTAGATATCCGGGCAACCGTTTCTCCTGTTTGATCTGAGGTTGGTACTGCTTCCACCCAGCGAGACATCAGTTCGACCATCACAACAATGTACTTATTCCCACTCGGACTAATAGGTAGAGGCCCAAACACATCCAGTCCCCAGGTTTGAAGTACTCTCCGTGTGTCTTTTGGTTGCATTGGCGGTGTTGATGGCGTTGTATATTTGTTATGTTGGCACTCGGGACAAGAACGGATGTATTCAATTACATCGCGACGCATTGTTGGCCAGAACACACGATATCGTAATGAATCGAGAACTCGTTGCCGTCCCATGTGTGCTCCATCATGTGCAAGCTTCAAAACCTTTCCGCGAAGACCGGCTGGGATGAATGGCAATCGCCTAGGTCTCAGTCCGTGTTCCGTGTCCACTGCAACCACCGAGCTCCCATTGTTCAAATGCAAGCGATCCCAGATCTTCAATGCTCCTATTTCTGGTGACGTTTCTTCCGGCTTCGTGCATGACCGCATATGTTCACAGATGGTTCGCACCTGGCCGTCATTTTTCTGATATTTATTAATTTCCACATCGCTCGAAATCAGTCGGGAGACTGGGATGGCCTGCTGTGGAACACGTTCATCGCTGATCAGACGCGACAGGAAGTCAGGAATCCGATTATCTTTGCGGTCAACATGTTCAATGGTAAACGTAAATTCCTGAAGACGATACGCCCATCGCGCCAGTCTTCCTCTCGGGTCGCGCGCTGTCATCAACCACGTCAAGGGTTTGTGGTCTGTACTGATGTGGAAGGTATTCGCCATTTCTCCAATGCCCATACAATTGCCAGGCACTCGTTTTCAGTGGTCCAGTACTTCCTTTCAGCGTCTGTAAGCAGGCGGCCGGCATGTTCAATTACTCCGGACGATTGTGGCAGCACTGCTCCGATTCAAAAAGCAACCGGTGTACATGTATACATTCAATTGTTAACCGCGCGGCAGGTTGGTTCATGCCTCTTTCTGTTGGTCAATCGCTGCTAGTTTTGGTCCGCACTTGGCACGTACGTTGCCTCTTCTTCCGCGTGCCGTTCCGGCTGGTTTGACCCGATCGTAGCGTGAGATACGCTGATCGACAGCTCCGACGTGGTGGCATTCGGTGTATATCTTTCTGGCTAGCTTCGGATTGTCTGTAGTTGGCTGTAGTTGTCGATTCGTTCGTTTCGGGTGATAGTCAGTATTGTCTCTCGAAGTACTTCCAGTCGCCACTTCTGCGCGTGTGGTTGGATGGGCCCCATTCTTGATTCGTTCGCTAGCCGGGCCCCTCTTTGTACCACCTTCCATTACACTCTCCCCTCCTTTAAAATAGTTGCCGCGGGTGTACCACCGCTCTGAGGTTTTTACTGTTTCCCCCCAGGGATACATCCGTTCTACGATCATAACAGTGTACTATTTCCACTCGGTCTAATATTTATAAGCCCAAACACACCCAGTCCCCATGTTTGACGTACTCTGCGTGTGTCCTTTGGTTGCATTGGCGGTGTTGATGACGTTGTATATTTATTTTGTTGTACTACTCTGTAGAGGCCCACTAATGTTGTGGGCGATTGTTGCTCACCGTGGCACCTTTTTTTGACACGCATAGCGCATACACCAAGTAACGGTAATAATGTCGGTTGACCGCTTGCTTTCGTTGGCGACCGCAGTTACTGTCAATCTCTGCGTTTGACCTGAGCACTGCTCGTCTGGTTGCTGCACGAGATTTTTGCGTACTGCATGGACCGCGGTGTTCAAACTTCGACAGTCCCTGTTTATCCTCCTCCCAATTTTCTGTGGCGCATAACAGAACTGGTCGGAATATCGCAGCGTAAACTCAACCTTTCATACAGAGCCGGATTTTGCGACGGTTCCACATTGATGTTAAGTTGGCGAATACCAGTCGAGCCTTCTGTATACGAGCTGATACTTCGTCCGTGATGCGTCCACTGGGTGAGATGTAGATGCCCAAATAAAACTCATCTTGTTCTGTCACTTCCCCGGCGAGGCTAGATGCTTGGCCAACCCAGTCATGAAGTAACATTTTACACGTAACGTATACCGAATATAACTACACTAACACTCAAGTTACCCAGAAAAGCTTGCAGCTTATCGTGCGCTATTTGCAGACATTGATCCGGTATGGAAGAAACAGCGAGATGAGAAGGGTTTGATGTGGCGTAAATTGTCGAAGACTGTGAGCATACTTGGCTTCCATTAGACCTTCCTTTTCCCTCATATATATATATATATATATATATATATATAGTC